ATCCTCAACGTGTCCATATAACTATAGACCGCAAGATAAGGACTTGCAGACTGGAAAGTGTTTCCAACCAGTCAGGAAAAGTGTCATTTATATTGTTATTCCAAGATCAAGAACTTGCAAACCCGTGCAGTTCACTAGAGAACGTGGGATTGGGCCTTGAAGTTGATTCCTGTTCAGGTCAAGAGTCATTAAACGATTTCCCCTTGCAAAAACTTCAGGGATAACACCCTGAAGATTGTTCATTCTCATGTACAACATTAAGAGTCCATTGGTAAAGCTAGAGAATAAGCATCCTGGAATCATGCCAGTGAAGTTGTTGTTTGACAAGTCGAGAATAGAAAGGAAATTGGAATTGCAGATAGAGGATGGAATTTCTCCAGATAATTTATTGTTTGATACTATAAACCACACAGACCTGGGAGGAAGGGGAAGTGGACCTTGAAGATTGTTGGATCCCATGTCTAGAATTTCCAGATTATTCCCTGATATTTCCCCCACTTCCGTCAAACTATTGTGTGAAACATTCAAGTAAGACAGTAAGCCATCTCCTGTCTCCCATAACCATCTGGGAATCTCACCTTGAATTCTATTATCAGAAAGATCCAGCACCCTTAATTTCTTGAGGTTTTTTAAGAAACTTGGAAATTCAGTTATGTTGCAGGAAGACAAAACCAAGGAGTCAACATTGAGTAATGTATGATTGCTGCTTGGGAATTCTCTTATTGTGCAAGACGTCAAAGACAACAATTCAAGAGCAGGAAATTCATCACTGTTATTCACACCGAGAGATAGACTGTAATTTGAAAGGCTAAGGTACCCAAGATGTTTAAGCTTTGAAAGTATGTTCATATCAACTGAGCCACTCAAGTTATAAGATGAAAGAGTAAGACCAGTAAGGTTTTCGAGTCCCGAAAATGATTCTGGAATTGGGCCATGAATCTCATTGTTTCTTAGGTAAATATATTCTAGGGACTTGGGCTGGAATTCACTAATTTCACCAGTGAACTTGTTGTTTCTAAGGTCCAAGTGCCTCAAAGATGGCAGAGAAAACAACCAAGATGGTATATTTCCACTTAGCTTGTTATTGTAAAGGTAAAGATAGGTTAGATTTGAAAGGCCAAATGAAGGAGAAGAATCAATAGGACCCATCAACTGATTTTCTGAAAGGTCTAATTGCTCCAAAGATGGTAGAGAAAACAACCAAGATGGTATTTTCCCACTAAGTTGGTTGTTGGAAAGGGAGAGGAAGGTTAGATTTGCTAGGCCATTTCCATGAGAAGGAATAGGACCAACCAGCTGATTTTTCGAAAGATCCAAATGGGAAAGTTGTGTTAAACTAGTAAGATCATCTGGGATTTGGCCACTGAATTTGTTCTCAGATAGATCTAGGAAAGTGACTTGTTTAAGGTTTGAAAGGGAAGATGGAATTTGACCAGTAAAGTTGGAATATCTAGTACGCAAATAGGTAAGCGCTGAGAGGTTAACAAGGGATGCTGGAATAGAACCTCCAAGCTTTGTAAAAGACAGATCCAAGTACCGTAAGGACATCAAATTGCCAATCGAAGCAGGCAGTTCGCCTGAGAAATCACTGCCAGTGAGATCTAAATGCTTCAAGAACCTTAAATTGCCAATGGAAGCTGGTAGTTTCCCTGAGAAACCAGTGAAAGAAGTATCCAAGAACTCAAGAAGACTACTCTGATTGAATTCTGGAAAAGTTCCTGTGAGATAATTGTTTCCTGATAAACCAACATGAAGGAGGTTAGGTAATTGAAAAATATGAGCAGGAAATTCCCCTTGCAATTCACAGTTAGAAAGTTGGAGGGATGTTAATGAATAGGGCAAATTTGCCAAGGGACCAAGTGCATGTAAACTCATTGTTACACTGTCAAGAATAAGCTCCTTCAGTTCTGTAAGATTACCGACCATTTCTCTCAGAACAATTGTTTTGAGTTTTAACTGATCATAATAACTGGAAGACAGATCAAGAGACACCAATCTTGATAAATGATAGATTTCAGATGGGACTTGTCCAGAAAAATATGAATGTGATAGATTGAGATGCGTCAAACTCTCGAGCTGTCCCAAGTTTGGTGGAATTCTGGAGTTGTTGAAGTTGTTGAAAGCGAGATTGAGGTTTTGAAGGTGAGAGAGGAGAAGAGAGTCGTGTTAGAATCGATGGAGCCAGAAAGCCAACTGCAACTCAGGTCAAGGCCAATCACATGTCCTGTTAGAGGGTCACAACTGACCCCATCCCACGAGCAACAATCTGTCCCCTCAATCCACGCCTTGTCTTCTTATAACCACCTCCACATGAAGAAAACTCACTGAAAGAGAGGCTGTTCTTGAATTGAAGCAACACAAATTTCTCTTCTTGCAGAGAAATCTGAGGTGAAAAGGAAGAAGAAGAAGAAGATGATGATGATGATGAACAATAAGTTGCATGACAAAACAAGTAGGAGACAAAGAGAAAGAGGAATTTGTAGAGACATGGCACTGGCAAACCCTCCATGGCTGATGTCAAAACAGAGGGTCTGCTGTTTGTCTTCCTATCATTTATATGAATATATAGAAAATTCTGAACTGACAAGCCAATCCAAGACATTTAGCACGCATGGTCGGATCCCCTATTTTAAAATTATTTTGAAAAGTTGTGTGTTCCCACGAAGCCTTTTAGAAATTTATCAAAATCTAGTGGAACTCATTCAAATATATAACACAACAGCCTTAGAAAAAGAGCAAACCCGGATAATTCTGTTTATTATTCTTTTTGATGGATACGAAGTCAAGAGGTTTCTGTCTGGTTCAATATAAAATTGCATTTTTACCCAGGGCAGTATTATTTGATTTTGTTGTTTTTTTTTTTGTTTTTTTCTGAAGGTGTTATTTTATAAGTCAATACTATTAAATTAGAAATTTTAATAATATTTTGCGAGAAATTATTTAATTTATGATTAAGAATTAAGACTGCATAATTTGACGAACCCATGATGTAATCATCAAATAATATATAAATAAATAAATAAAATAGTTAGATTATACTAATAAGAAGCAGCAACTCTTTCACATAATGATTGCTACCTTTGAGAAAGACGTAAAATGTAATATTATTATATCTTAAAACTTCAAACACACTTTTGTTGTATAAAAAGAAACTAATAAGTTTATTTTCAACTTATAAATAAAACAATAAGGTTTGAACGTTTTAAATTTCGATTATGTAAAAATAGAAATTGTAGGTTTTTTATATATCAAATTCAAATTAGATCTTCGATTTCTTAATTGATAAGTATAAATATAAATTTATTATTATAAAATTAAATATATTAATAGTTAATTTAATTATTAATATATTAATAAAATTACAGTAACTAAAATGAATTAAATTTTATTAAAATGATTATGTTTTTGAGGAAAAAAAGAAATTTATGGCTGTTAAATTCTTTTTATTAAAATAATTATAATAAATTAAAAACTTTAAATAAAAAAATCATGTAAATTATGATTGAGTTCAACATATCAAGTAATTAAAGTATAAAAATATATTTCTATATTTATAAGATTAAATTATTAAATTAGTCTGCAAAATTTAATATTTATTACAATTTGATCTTTAATGTTTTTTTTTGTTACTATTAATTTTTAATATTTTTTTATTTATTTAAAATAA